GTGAGCTAACCGCTTGCCCACCTGGAGCAGGGGGAGCGAGGGGCTCGTTCTGTTCTTGACCTCTCCCACCTCCCTCGTTCGCACGTCGGGAGCAGGTGCCTCCGCGTGCCTGATCCAGGCCCTGCACCAACGGGGCGGGCGGGAGACTTCTTCTGACCCGGGTACCCGCTAGACCCGGAGTCCTCAGAACTCCCAGGAACCCTAGTGACCCGGGGAGACGTGAGTTTTGAGTCACAGGGTCAGGCCAGAGTCCTTCCAGGAATTACTGAGGAACTCTCGCTGCCCAGGGAGAGTTTTAGGGCCGGCTGGAGCAGGGTCATTCTAGGAAACAAGACGGCTGAGTCCCTGCTTGCCTTCCCCGGGTCCTTGTGTGGTTCTGCCGCCTGAGACCTTCGGATCGTGGAGGGAGCAGGGCTGGGACTTGCTCCAGAAACGGAGGGGCACTGTGTTCACCAGCCTGCCGGACACACGGCTGTTCCCTCGCCTGCGGCTCGGGATGGGGAGAGCGGCGGGCCGTCTGCGCAACCCGTGCTGGTTCTTTCCTCTCTCCCACCCTGCCCCGCGCCTCACCCAGGACACGGAAGACCTAGATCACTATGAAATGAAAGAGGAGGAGCCAGCTGAGGGCAAGAAATCTGAAGATGACGGCATCGGAAAGGAAAACTTGGCCATACTAGAGAAGATTAAGAAGAACCAGAGGCAAGATTACTTAAACGTACGTGCCTTCTCCGGGAGAAGTGGGCGGGGGCTGGTGGGTGCTGCCTGGGAGGTGGGGGTAGGCCCTGGCACGTCCGTCTGGGGGGCAGACGCTGCCTTCGGGTGGGCTGTGGTGTGTCTGAGCCCGGCCTGGTCCAGTGCACCTGCCCGGCTGCCCAGGCGTGTGTCTCCAGAGCACGTGTGTCCTCTTCCGGGCAGGGCGCAGTGTCTGGCTCGGTGCAGGCCACTGACCGGCTGATGAAGGAGCTCAGGGATATATACCGGTCACAGAGTTTCAAAGGCGGTGAGTGTGTGTCACGGAGGACCCTCGAGAAGTTCTGGGGTATGTGAGAGTTCGTGAACCTTTCAGGCCACGAACCCGGCGCCTCGAGCCAGTGGCCTTAGACTGGGTGCGTGTCCGTGTGGGGTGGACCTGGAGCCTTTGATCTCTGTTCTGTCAGCCTGGGAGAGGGGGTGCATCGGGCTCCTCGCCCCTCGGACTTTCCTGACGACACGTGTCATCTTCCCTCTTCGCAGGAAACTATGCAGTCGAACTCGTGAATGACAGTCTGTATGATTGGAACGTCAAACTCCTCAAGTGAGTGCGGACGGGGCAGCGGGTGGGGAGCGGCCCGGGGGAGCTGGCGCAGTCTCGGGGCCCCTGGGCTGGGACCAGGGGTCTGAGCCCACACTTCTTACTTCAAAGAGTCGACCAGGACAGCGCTTTGCACAACGATCTCCAGATCCTCAAAGAGAAAGAAGGAGCTGACTTCATCCTACTTAACTTTTCCTTCAAAGTAAGACTTCCCTCTGCAGCCAGGCGCCTTCCTTGCCTTGTGGAGGGCGGCCCTGGGGGGCGTGGGCCCCCTCTGATGTCGTCTCTGTCTCCCTCGCAGGATAACTTCCCCTTTGACCCGCCGTTCGTCAGGGTTGTGTCTCCAGTCCTCTCCGGAGGGTGAGTGGCTGAGCGAGGGCGGAGGGTGGGGAAGGGGCGTGCAGCTTTTGTCCGGCACAGCCGCCTCCCTGACCTTCCTTCTGCAGGTACGTTCTGGGTGGAGGCGCCATCTGCATGGAACTTCTCACCAAGCAGGTGAGCCTGCTGCTCACTCCGGCCCGGCCTGGGCAGGGGGGGCTGACGTCAGCGTTGATGCCGGGGGGGGGGGGCGGGGGGCAGGGCGTCACGTGGCCCTCTCGTTCTGTGGGGCAGGGCCTGCACCCACTGCCCCCTGCCGACAGCTGCTGGCTCCTCCAGGAGCGCAGGGCAAGGCCCCCTCCCCACGCAGCTGCCCTGGGGCCAGGCGCAAGGTGCCTCTGGGAAGTCTCCTGACCTGTGTGCTCCGTCACTCCCCGTTCCCAGGGCTGGAGCAGCGCCTACTCCATAGAGTCTGTGATCATGCAGATCAGCGCCACGCTGGTGAAGGGAAAAGCACGAGTGCAGTTTGGAGCCAACAAAGTGAGGAGCCAGGTCCCGGGGCTGCTTGCGCTCAGGACCGCCGGGATGAGGCCTCTGGCTGGTGCCTGGCCGAGCGGCCCTGAGAGCGGGGGGTTGTGGGCACAGGGTCCTGCGGGTCAGCAGATCACTGCGCCGGGGCGCCGGGGTCTCTAGCCGGCAGCGGTGGGGGAGTGGGGGGGCACGGCCAGCCTTGTTGATGGTGGTCTCCTGTCCCAGTCCCAGTACAGCCTGACGAGAGCACAGCAGTCCTACAAGTCCCTGGTGCAGATCCACGAGAAGAACGGTGAGCCACGGCCAGGGCCCGAGAACGTCACTTCCTGCCAGAGAGCAAGAGCCGCTCTTTCGGTTCCTGAGCCTTTACTACCTGTTACCACCATGCCTGCCCCTGTTCTCCAGAGAAGGGCTGGAGGTGGTGACATCCACTCCCTCCCTCCCCAGAAAAGCACTGCCAGCCCGTAATACTTGGGGGGTGGGGGGGCTCGGTGGCTGCCCTCTGCCCGAACGGCCTTCCAGAAAGCTCATGTCACCGTGTCCTGTCACGGCAGACAGTTCCCCAGTCCCCGCACTGGGAAGGCCTTGCTAGGATCTTCCCACCCATGACCCTGGAGGTGCCCTTGGGGACCGGGCTGGGAGGGTGGGCTCGGGCCTGCGCCCCGCGACTGTCTCCTGGCTTCTCTGCAGGCTGGTACACACCCCCCAAGGAAGATGGCTAACCCTGGAGAGCCGTGCCTCCACCCCCCCCTCCCCCGGCGCCACTGGACCAATTACCTTTGAATGCTGTATTCGGATCTCACGCTGCCTCTGTGGTTCCCTCCCTCGTTTTTCCTGGACGTGATAGCTCTGCCTATTGCAGGACAATGATGGCTATTCTAAACGCTAAGGAAAAAACACAGTTCCAAGTACTCAAGACTGACTCACAGACCAACCAACCACCTGGCTGGAACCCCTGCTAGCAGGCATTCTTACAAAAGGAACTTTCGAGCCTCCTTATATTGCTGGAAACTCAGCTGTGCTCCAGACTAGAACCTCCTTACCTATGCTATGGATTTTTAATTTATTTTCTCTTATTTCATGTACACTGCTTTTTTTGGTTACAGTGTATGATGGATGTGTATGAAAAAAAATGTATCTTTGGGAAAACAATTACAGTTTGTTAATTTGAAGATGCTGGTCTTGACTCATCTTTCTTTTTCTTCCCACCTCCCGCCCCACCCTCGTCCCCCCCTCGCTGCCTGGGCGGTGGGGGAGGGGCAGGGCCTGGCAGCTCAGAGGAGGGGCTGCACTTTGCTGCTGAAGCTCGCCTGGCTCGCCCCCCAGGTTTCTCCCGGAGGCCCCCCGGAGTGACCGGCACTTGTCCCCTCGGAATGCAGAGCCTGGCCCACTAAACCACAGCGGAGCAGGCTGGAATGATGCCCTTGATGCTTAGGACGACTTTTCTTCCCTAGTCACAGATGTTTCCAAATTTCTGAGAAAAAGAAAGTGAGGACGGAGGCTGGAGAGGCCACTTCAGAGAATTGCTTCCAAATGAATGGAGGGGTGGGGGATGTGGTGCTCCCTGGCTCCCCTCCCTCAGAAAGGCCTCTGCTGGCCCCGAGTGACCTCTTGGACCTCTCGCTTCGTCAGGCTTGTGCAGGAAGATGGGCAGAGCCCTGAAGCAAGTTGTCTGGCTTGGAGAATCATGGGTTCTTTGAAGCCGCTCACCTGAGGTGGGTCCTGCTGGAAAGGTTAGCTTCCAGGGGCTTGTTCGGGGCACCCGGGGCCTCACCCCGGCTCTGGGAGCTGCTGGTCAGGGGAGAGAGGGGTGGGAAGGCCGTGCGGTGCTGTGCGGACCCGCAGGGTCCAGGTGCTGCCCGCCTCCTGGCCAGTGAGCCTGCTCCGGGGCCCCACCTGCCTGCAGCCTGGGTGGTGGGCCCGGCGAGGCTGGCCAAGGCTGGTGTGGGGGAGGCCAGACTCGGGGCCCTGGGCTGCACACCTGCAGCACACCAGCCCTCTGTCACGCTGTGTCGGAGACCCTGGCCGTTCACACTACCCCCTCTTCCCTGGGGGAGCCTAAGTCGCTTCGGCACGGGAGAGGTAGCCGGCTCGGACTCTGCGCACAACCACCTGATAACGAGTACTGGTGCGCACAGAGGCTGAGATAAAAGAGGGGCCCCGGGGGGCACGCCACAGAGCTGGAATCTGGGTCTCGAGGCCTCTGTGGCTTTCTTCTGAACTTACCACCAGCCCTGGCTGGAATGTAGATTGTGTTTTTAGTAATGTGTACTGTGAGCTGTCCTCTGTATAATGTATTTTGTAATGTATTTTTCTCATCTACCAAAGGATGAAACAAATAAAATTATTTAAATAGTTTGGCTCTAATAAAATTAATTTTTTTTTAAGATTTATATTTAGCTAATCTCCACACCCAACGTGGGGCTCAAACTCACGACCCCGAGATCCAGAGTCACACCCTCTATTGACGGAGTCAGCCGGGTGCCCCCCCAATACAACTAAAGGAACGGTGGGGTCCGTGTCCACCGGCACGAAGAGAGGCGCAGCTCCTGGGAGTTGGGAGCACCGAGTGGAAGAGAACCCTCCACCTTTTCCATCCAACTCAACACTCCCCTTAATGACCTTCATGAAGGGTTGTAAAGGACGTTAGAAAGCACAACAAAAGATTCAAGGCCCTAACATCCTGAATCGATGCTCTTCTCTCCACTAGGAAGACAAGGAGAGACGAAAAGCTCCTCAGGTCGCTGCCCTACACCTCGACGTGGGGCTCGCGGGGGGCAGCAGCTTCTAACCCCACTGCAGCAGGTCTGACGAGGCAGGGCTGGGGAGGGGGGCTACAGAGAAGGATGGACACCCCACCTCCTGAAACATGCCATTATTTATTCACCAAGGTGATGCCTCTTTTAAGTGCTCCCTGATTCTTCTCTGGAAGGCCAGGAAAACCAAGCGTGGGCCCCTCCGTTCTCCGGCATCTCTTAGGGCAACTTCTGTCATACTCTGGGGGTACACAGAAGAGACGCGGGGAGGACCCACTGGTGGCCTCCGGCTTTGACCTCGTGGAAGCTTCCTGGGTGTGGTACAGGCAGAGTTGGGGAGCCCGTGACACGTGGAGACCTCTCTCTCTTCTGAGAGGTGAGCTGGGGGCAAGGCCAAATGAGGGTCAAAGCAATCGTGGGCGCCGGTGGCCTCTTCACCCCCAAGGCCTCAAGAGTGCACTGTGCTTGAGGACAAGGGGGACAGAACGGGACAGAGAAGGGGCATGCTGACAGTCGCCGCGTTACTTAAACTCGTCAAACATCAGGATGTGTGACTGGAAGAGCGAGAATTAGTCTCAGTGGGAAGGAGGGCCCCCCCCCCATAACCTCAGCTTGTTTCTTCAGCAGAATGCCAGGTCAAGGTGCAGCATCCGGGCCCAGGCGGCCTGCCCGGGAGCCCCCAGGGCTGGAGGGAGGGAGGACAGTTAGATACAGGGCAGTTGCCTCCAAGGTCTAAGCACCAGTGATTTTCCCTTTGAGGATGCGATGGATAACCCAGTATGAACTCCAAGTGTCTGCACAGCACAGCACAACAAGGAAAGCTGGGTGGCCCGCGGTCAGGCCGAGGAGGAGAGGGGGGCAGCGGTGGGCGGACAAGTCTCTACCGGTCGGGGAGGGCTCCCCAGGCAGGCTGACCCCAGATGGAAGTGCTGTGGACGTGGGAGGGCAGAGGAAGAGCAGATTAGAGGAGGCCTTACTCCTGTGGCTCAAGTTATGGCAGGGATCTGGGACTGCACATTGTCCAGTGGGAAATTCCGGGCACACGGAACTGCTCATTCGACTCTGCAGTGAGCACATTAGCTGGAGGGCTGGCGGCTGAAAAGCAGAGGACTTTGCCCACTGAGCAAGCCGTTCCTCCATGCTGGGAGGGGGGCCGGCGCCCTTCTCCGAGGCCTTCCCTCACTCGGGCCCCGCCGTCTGGTCCCCAACCCTGGGGCCACCTGAATGCATGAAACTGGCCACACGGAGTCGGACCTCAGGTCCGTCCCCAGCTGTGCCATTTTGTTTTTATGAAATGGGAGGAAGTTCCTGTCACCTTTCTGAGCCTTGTTGTCCCCCTCCATAAAGGGGGAAAATGTCAGCCCACCTGATCTCTCAGGGCCACCTCAATGTCCACACAAGCGCTGAGCACCCCCCGACCTGGGGTGGGCACTCTGGACCTTCTGCCTGTCTGAGAGCTGCTGTTTGGGGCACGGGGCTCCTCTACGCTCGCCGCCCCCCCCAACACCCGCCTGGAGCTCCAGGGCCCTGGCCGGGAGCTGGTCACTCCCCACGCTGGGCAGCAGGGACCCTCTGCATGCAGTGACCCAAGATGACCTCTGGGGGTGCCCCTGCCCGCGGGTCCCATGCCCCTAGCCTCTGCACTTGGGTGACAGAGCATTTTCTCACCCACTCACATCTCACCCAACCCCAACCTTGGCCTCTCCCTCTCAACGATGTGAAAACGGGCCCCGACAGGTGTCCAGATCTAAAAAAACAGCCCGTCAGAAGGCCCCGCGTCCAGTGCTAACCCCCACCGGGGGTTTTCAAATCCTAGTTTTCTTCTATCATGGAACTCTTTCCCGGGGAAATCAAGCAAAATTCAATGTGCAGAACACAGACGAAAGCTGAGCAGCTCTGGCGGAAGCGGGACATGTCTGCGCTCCCCCCGGTACCACAGAACTCAGCCTTCGGGCAGCACCGGGGGCCCCTCTCGGGCATGAAACCAATATGCAAGAGGCAGCTCCAAGCACTGGGGAGAGCAAAGAAGAGACACCGAGAGGTACCCCGAGGCCTCTGCTGCCCTCAGTGTCCCCTCCGCCGTCCCCCCGCTGCCCCTCAGTGTCCCCTCCGCTGTCCCCCTGCTGCCCTTCAGTGTCCCCTCCGCCGTCCCCCCGCTGCCCCTC